TTTTTTTTTTTTTTTTAAAGGGACAGGGTCTTGTTCTGTTGCCCAGGCTGGATTGCAGTGGCTCAGTCTTGCAGCCTCAAGTTCCGGGCTCAAGTGATCCTCCTGTCCCAGCCTCCTGAGTAGTTGGGACTCTAAGTGCACACCATTGTGCCTGGCTAATTTTTTAGTATTTTTAAAGATGAGGGTCTCACTATGTTGCTTAGGCTGGTCTCAGACTCTTGGCTTCAAGTCATCCTCCTGCCTTGTCCTCCCCAAAGTGTTGGGATTATAGGCATGAGCTACTGTGACTGACCCAAGGCCTGAATTTTTGACGCAGGAATTTTTCAGAAGCTCTAACCAAAGCATGTCTATGGTTTTTCTTCTACAACCTGATTTGACTTTATTTATTTATTTATTTGCAGTTTTTGGCTGGGGCTGGGTTTGAACCCGCCACCTCTGGCATGTGGGGCCAGCGCCTTACTCCTTTGAGCCACAGGCGCCGCCCTACAACCTGGTTTGAAAACTACCACAGTAAGGGATCTGAAAGTACCTTTCAGGGCAACAGCGTGAGGGAGAATCATCCACACGGCACGTATTTATGGAGCACCTGCCTCATGCCAGGACTTGCATGAGATGTGAGGGGTACGGACAAGAAACAGCCACTACCCTCGGGAAGCTTGCTGTGCACTGGTGGGAAAAGACCAGAAAACTCTGACAAATGCTAGGAGAGAGAGGGTTGCACTCAGAGCCTCTAGGGAAGGAGAGAGGCTGCCCGAGGAACTGACTTCCGCTGTGGCTTCTCAGCACACTGTCTCCAGATGCCCCTCTGAGCACTGTTCTCAGGCCCTCCAGCTTCCCTGCTCTCCGACCAGCCTATCTTTAGACCACATCCAGAGGGGCCTCATCACTCCTTGCTTAAAGCTCTCCCAGGGTGTCCAGTTTTTTCTCATTTGCCTTTACAGATATTTGCTCTTTGAGAGAGGCAGTAAGTACGGAAGCAGGAAACTCATGAGTGATTAGCATTTGGTGTGCAATACACTTTGTGATCTGGAGATCAGGAGATGTGACTTTCCAGTTCTGTTTGTGTTACATTATATTAGTGACAAACCAGCTTTATATTGGAATGTATCTATCTGTATTCCAAATGCTCCCATTGAGAATAATGCTGTCCTGTGGGATGAGGGGGTGGGGCCAGCAGAAATGAAGCTCCCTGCCCCAGGCCAGGTGAGCTGACACCCAGCAAGGGTGGGAGCTGAGACCAGGCTGCAGAGCACACCCCACCACTATGCTAGCTTCTGCAGTTGGGGCATTTGGCACCAATGGAAGAGGGAAAAATTTGGCTAGAATGAACTATTCTCTCTGTAAGCAGCATGTGGAACCTCAAACCTTGATCCGCTCGTTATGATAGCTTCAAGAGACTCACGAAGGTCTGCATTAGAATCTGAGCTAGAAGACTAGATGGTACTGTGGGTATAGTACATACCGGCGCCTTCAGGAATAAAATGATAAATCTGAGATTTGTTTCAAAACAACCCAGGGTATGGGGAAGTGGGTGGGAGTGAGATTAAATAAGAATAGCCATGTGTTGGCTCGAAGCCTGTAGCTCAAGCGGCTAAGACACCAGCCACATACACCAGAGCTGGCAGATTCGAATCCGGCCAGGGCCTGCCAAATAATGACAACTACAACCAAAAAATATCTGGGCATTGTGGTGAGCGTCTGTAGTCCCAGCTACTCTGGAGGCTGAGGCAAGAGGATAGCTTAAGCCCAGGAGTTGGAAGTTGCTGTGAGCTGTGATGCCACAGCACTCTACCCAGGGCAATAGCTTGAGGCTCTGTCTAAAAACAAAAAAGGAAAAAATAAATAGCCACGTGGTGATAGAGGTTGAAGCTAGGTAGTAAGTTATTATGTTTTATATTTTACATAAAAAAGAAGAAATAGAAGACAGGTGTGGTGGCTCACTTGTAATCCTAGCACTCTGGGAGGCTGAGGCAGGTAGAGAGCCTGAGCTCAGAAGTTTGAGACTAGCCTGAGCAAGAGTGAGACCCTGTCTTTACTAAAAATAGAAAAACTAGCTGGGCATTATGGCAGGTGTCTGTAGTCCCAGCTACTCAGGAGGCTGAGACAGGAGTATTGTTTGAGGTTGCTGTGAGCTATGATGCCACAGCACTCTACCCAGGGCAACAGGACAGACTCTGTCTCAAAAAACAAAATTAAATTAATAAAAAACTTAAAAACAAATAAAACTAAAAAAAAAAGAAGAAAAATTGAGTTGGAAGCCCTGCCCAAGATACAAATAAGGTGCAAGGGGTGGAGGGGCACATTGTGAGTCGTGCTGTTCTGTGCAGACCCCAGGGCAGTGTCTATGCTACATCCTACAATGAGCCCGCAGTCACCCTTTGATAAAGCCCAGGGCCCAGACCAACTGGGTTGGTCCTGGCCCCATGCCTACCTCAAAGTCATCTGGACAGCTCCGCTTGCTGTTGTTGTTATTTAGATTTTCCCGGGTAAGCTGGGGTGGAGGCTGCCCCCACCTCCCTGCTTCTGGGCTGTCCTCCCTGTCCATCTCCTCTGCCTGAGGCAAGGAGCCACTCGGGGGTGTGGGGCTCCCGACTTCTAGTTTCTTCTTGGCATCCTTCTCACAGAGCCTGGGACCTTCCTGGGGACATCTGGCTGACCTGTGTACCTCCCCAGGCTGGGCTGCTTCCTCCAAAAGAGCATCCCTCTCAAGGTCCTGGAGCTGGACTGAGCTGGCAGTATCACCATCGAGAGAAGGCAGGAGGGGGTCTGAGAGTCTCCGGAAACAGCACGGGAGAGCAGGCCCTCCAGGGGCCCTGCTGCCTGGGAAGATGGGCTGGGCAGATTCCTCCAGGCAGGGTGCCTCGGTCTCTGGGGTGCTATCCAGGGTCTCTGGGAGGAAGTCACCGGGTCCTGCAGGGTCTTCCACAGGTGGCTGGAGGCTGCTTTCTGTTTGCTGACGCCACAGCTTGTTATGCCGCTGTTTGCTGTGGGGAGAAAGGGCAGGGAAGAGTAAGCAGAGGAGGACAGTGCCCAGAGGTCCTGAGGGGAGAGGGGTGAGCAAACAAGAGACAGCCCAAGATTGGGGCTGGTGGCAGGCTCTCACTTAGGTAAAGCCCCTCTGTCATTTGTTCCCAAGCAACACAAGGATGAGAAGAAGCACAAAGCTCGTGAATTACCACGCCTCGAGTGAGAAGACCCAGGTGACTTTCTGTGACCTGGAGACAATATGACAGCAACACAGAGGGGGTCTAGACTTGCCATCTGCATATCTGTGTGCCACCTCATTTCTGTGAACCCAGTCACTGCACTATGTTCCATCTCTCAGCTTCTCCATCTGTCAAACGAGAATAACAATCCTCTCCTGTCTACACTACAGAGAAACCACGGGGGTCGGAGCGGAGAGTAGGAGGAGCTCTACACATCAGGACGTGGCCGTGTACACACAGGAAGCATTCCAATACATCCGGGGAGAGCTCTGATAACTGGAAATATTTGTTTAGGTCAGAGGGATTACAGGTCAGTTTTTAAATGATTTCTTCTGATACTATTTTTTTGAGATGTAGCACTGTGTTACCCTCGGTCGAGTACCATAGTGTCACAGCTCACAGCAACCTCAAAATCTTGGACTCAAGTGATCCTCTTGTCTCAGCCTCTCGAGTAGCTTGGACTACAGGCGCCCACCACAACACCCAGCTATTTTTAGAGATGAGGTCTCTCTCTTGCTCAGGCTGGTCTTGAACCGGTGAGCTCAGGCACTCCACCTGCCTCAGCCTCCCAGAGTTTTAGGATTACAGGCGTGAGCCATGGAGCCTTTGATACTATTGTTTTTATAATACATTTTCAGAATACAAGGTAATAAAAGGGAAAGAGAAAGTTTACAGTCAGATAAAGTGACTAAGTCACCCCATGGACCTTAATGCCAACACCATGGGTTTGTGAGGGTTAAGAAAGAAGGAAATGCAGGCGCCTGTGGCTCAAGGAGTAGGGCGCCGGCCCCATGTGCTAGAGGTGGGGGTTGAAACCCGGCCCGGCCAAAAACTGCAAAAAAAAAAAAAAAAAAGGAAATGCAAAGGAGCAGTGGGATTGGAGAGGGAATGTCACGGAGTGTCATGGTCCTTCACTGGCTTTTGCTCCATATACTTGGTCCACTGGGCTGGGATTCAAGGTCAACACCCTGCTGCCCTGAACCTGGCCTGGATAGCCCTGGCTGGGCTGCAGAGTGCTCCCTCATCCTGAGGCCCTGCCTGGGATCTGGCCACTCTCTGGTTGACAGCAAAGAGCATAGAGATGGCCAGATTTGTTTCCAGACCCTATTTGACCTTGCCAGGGCACTCCTGCACTTCTAAACTTGGCCATGAAACTGGTGGACTTTAACTGTGGCTTTTTTCCAACACAGATCAAAAATGATCTAGGGAGGTGTTCATCTCATACTAACTGAACAAAAAAGGAATGGGGGGAAAAGTGAGTCCTAAGCTCCTGGCTTCTGATCTGAGAATTTGGGCAACTGGAATTGCAGTGGGGGCCTGGCCGGGATCACTGGAAGATACCACCACCACCCTAAGGGGGCAAGACAACCTCAGGACCTCCATGCACTGAGTGTCCCAAGGGCCCATGTACCTGAGATGTCTCTCTCCCTCCTGCTGTCCACTGACTGTGTGAATGAGTGACAAGTTAACCCATTCCTACCTCTGGAAAAGGGGGATAAGCTGGACTTTGCAGATCTTTTGTTATTTGGGGTGAGAGTGAGAGGTTTTTAAAGAAGCCATATTTCTTTATCAGCTAGGTCTGGCAAAGTATCTGTAAAGGTAAACTTGTATAGGGCTCGTGCAAACCTCAAGAAAACCCTATTGGGTAGGTATCCTCTTTTTTTTTTTCAATATATTTATTGTGGTAAAATACACATAAAATTTGCCATCTTCACCCCTTTAAGCGCACAGTTCAGTGAGATTAAATACATTCAAAATGTCCTACAACCATTACCACCATCCATCTCTAGAAGTCTTCATCTCCCAAAACAAACTGCAACTCTGTACCCATGAAACGTTAACTCCCTGTTCCCTCCTTCCTCCTTCCTCCATCCCCTGCCAGCCACCTCTCTACCTTCTCTCTCTGCAACTTTGACAACTTGAAATAATTCGAAGACTGACTTGTCTCACTCGGCATAATGTCCTCAAGATACACCCATGTTGGAGCACGTGTTGGAATCTCCTTCCTTTTTAAGGCTGAATAACATACCATGTATGGGGAGGCCACGTTTTGTTTATCCATTTGTCCATCAATGGACACCTGGGTTGCTTCCATCTTTTGGCTATCATCAATAATGCTGACATGAACACGGTGTACAGATATCTCCTTGAAACCCTACTTTCAATTCTTTTGGGGATACATGCTGAAGAAGATTTATTAGCTCATGTAATAATTCTATTTTTCATTGTTTGAGGAGCCACTGTACTGATTTTCACAGCACCTATGGCATCAATGTCCACATTAAGATGGGTATTAATCCTTAACTCAAAAGAGGAAACTGAGGCTCAGGGAGACGGATGAGCTTGCTCTAAGTGCCCAGCTCATCTGGTGGCACTGGTACGGTGCTCGGGCTTGTCCGACCCCAGAGCCTGTGTACAAGGCTCTGCGCTAAGCAGATACCCAGGAAATGGGACAGACACATGCCCCTATCGCACACACAAGACTCACCCTGGATTACAAGTTAGGCACGGCTCCCTCCAGCAGCAGAATCAGCTTTATGTGTGTGCCAACAAAATCAAAACAGATCCCTCCTGGAAAGGACTAATCAAAGCCCAAACAATAGTTGTTTTTCTCAAATCAGCTCCCCTGAGAGGCGGGATTTTGGCTGCGGAAGCTGCTGCCAAGGCCGAATGGGAAAGCATTCAGATCCTGATGGCGGCCCAGCTGGCTTGGACACAAGGGCTGCCGAGGCTCAGCCGGCCACCCCCCCAACCCTGTGCAGGCTGGGACCCACCTTGCGTCCAAGATGCCTTCATACTCTGACAGCTGCCTCATGAAGCCTGCATTGGGTCGTGTGATGCTGCGCTTTTGCTTCACGTAATTGTAGGCCTTTTCGAGAGGCCAGCCAAATTCCTTCATGGCATAGGCTATGACTGTGGAGGCAGATCGGCTGACGCCCATCTTGCAATGTACCAGGCACTTAGAATGGTTCTTCCTGCAGGCAAGGGGGACGGCAGAGGGGGAGAAAGAGTTAAAAAGTTTCAGTAACTTCATTCTATCAGGTCTTACTCAACTGATTTTTTTAAACCCTAAAGTTATCTCAAGGCCTAAATCCTCCAGTGTCCTAATGTTTACGTGTCTACACACCCTCTAAAGGAAATACCTCCACTGCAAAATCAATTAGCACACAATGGGAACTCAAGATAAATCTGCTCTGCCCTGCCAAGATTTGCAAGAGTTCCAAAATGTGACTGCTTTCAGTGAGAATCTCCCCACATGGCTGTCACAGGCGAGGTGACCAAAAAAACCCTTTTACCGGGAAGCCACTGGGCAGCCAAAGGGATTTCTGCAAAAGCTACTCAACTGCTATGGCAGACAGAGATGGTGAATGAGTTACTGTAGAAAAATGAGGTCAGCAGACTGAAACCTTGCAAGGCTCTGGGGAAGAGCAAGATCCTCGTCAGAGAGGAGGGCCAGGGAGCAGGAGTGAGGACAGTCAGAGAGACAGAGCCAGGGGAGGAAGATGAAGCTGAACTACTATTTGTAAGGAGGCAGGACTGGCCCAGGTGGGGCTGATTTGGCAGATCGGCAAGGTCAGGGGAATGTGTTTGTCTAAATTATGTTTGCTCAAGAATGTGATGGAATGCTGGGCTGCTAAAGGCAACACCTGCAAAACTTTATTTGTACAGAAGGCAGACCCACCAGGTAGGAGCAGGCTCCAGCTTCCTAGACCCCATTACAATTCCTCTCCAAACCTCAGTGTCTCTTTTTATTTTTTAAGTAATGGTCTGAAGTCTCCCTCCAGAGTGTCCCAAGTCTGTGAACTAAAATAAAATATTAAAGTCCCCCCCAGCCCCTAGCAACTGGACTGGACCCCCCTCTTGGCCAACGGGATCCCTAGAACTGTGTTGCTAGCCATGAGAAAAGAGATCAAACATGCCTCATCATGTCCCCCTTCCTTCTTGGAGCTGTCCTCTGAGACTCATTAACAGACCCAAGGCTACACAAGACCTACCTGCAAGTTCTCAATATACAAGACACACCCCCTTGGGTCTGGGTATATGTGTCCTATAATTGTCTCTGATTAACAGACCCTCATCTTAACTCAGCATTCCTTTTCGCTGACTCTTGGTCTATTACAGCCTAACACAGCCAACTGTCAACCACAGAATTCTTAAACTCATCTATAATCTGTGGGCCTCCCCTACCTTGATTTGAGATGTCCCACCTTTTTGGGCCAAACCAATGTATACCTTCTTCAGATTGATTTACAACTTTCCCAGTAATTCCTGTTTTCCACTATAAAACCAAACTATAACCCCACCACTGTGAGAGTCCATTTGCTCCAGGCTTCTTGGGTGTGGCTCTGGGTCATGGTTCTCAAATATGGCTCAGAATAAACCTCTTTAAATTATTTACAGAGTATGGCTTCTTTTCCATGGACAAATCTGTCCCCCAGGAACTGGAGAGAACCAAGACTTGGTAAGAACACTTTACCACCTTACAGAGCTTTGACCCAGGGAGACACAAAGCAGAAGAGGATGTTTCTCTTGACAGGCTCCCAAAGGTGGTCTCTCTTTCTGTTCTTGACTTCAGTAAGGCACAGTTCCGCAGGAGAATAAAATGAGAACAAATGACGGATGGGACCAGCGATGGTGGACCCAGGGGCAGTGGGCTGGCCATAGCCTCTGAAGGGCTGTCCTGTCCCATGGGACACTAACTTGAGGACAGAAGATGGGTGTGTCCTTTGGGGAGGTAGTCCCAAAGGCATTCTGAACCTGGACTTCCTTCAGCTCAGCAACTGCCAGGGGCAGAGCTCCTAAGAGTGTCCACTGGGTATCCGTGCCGGGAACCAGTGCCAATGACAACTGGGGTCAAATGTCACAATCATGGGCAGGTGGAAGAGAGTCAGCTTATGAGGGCCTCTACCTGGAGAGGACTGACAAATTTTCCACTTTGATGTTTGGGGTCCTGTGGCTAAAAATCAAAGGTCCATTGGACATCTAAGCCCCCTTAAGTCAGCCACAGTCTGTGTCTGGAATTGCCATCAGTTCCTGCCTACCCGGCATCTGCCGCTCGGTTTCTTCCTCTGGCTGGCTTCCCCGCCCACTTACTTTGCTTTGTTTATAAAATGATATGCTTCATTCCAGTGGGCAAGAAGATCTGTTGTCTCTTCATCATAGACTCGGATGTTATGATATGCAAATAAGCCAGGGAAAAAATTATCTATTTCTCTAGTAACATTTAAAATGTAGTCAACCCTGCAGTGAGAAAAAAAAAAAAAAGACAACAAATTTGGAGAATAACAAAATAATGAAAAACTGGCAGAGAAAAAAATTAAATATGCATTAATAAAGGATAACATATTTATGGTGGGACTTTTGTTTTTCCTTAATAGTAATTTTCTTTGTATTCCCTAAATGTCCTCTGTATGATGAGGATATTTTAGTTACACCAAAAAAAACAGACTTGTTCAAAGCACTCTGGAAATTAAATATATGTATTACTTAAGTACATTTTTAAACTCCTTAAGGTGTTAACATTTATAAATATTTTGAGTAAACTTTTTTTTAAAAAAAGATCTCCCACTTGAAATAGTTAAAAAAGCAGAATGTATCTGTTATTCATATCCTTGGGAATTGCCTTATAAATCCTTTTTGAAACATGGCAAGATATAAATAAGTATTTCAGAGGGTCTTTTGACCCAGGTAGTTCACTAAACTTAATCAATACTTTTATTTCTGGAAGACTAAAATAATTTCAGGAGTCAGAAAGTATCTCAAATAGGTTTCCTAAGAGAATACTTACACATGCTTTTTAAAAAGTACCTTTAAAAGTCACTAATTTATTCCCAGCAAGATGGAAAGCAGAGGATCACCCTACATGTTCAGAATGCTTTCTCCTGGAGGAGGAATACGTCTTAACCAGTAGTTCTAAGGATGTATTTTAAGATTTGTTTAGTCTTGATTTTTAAATGTAGCAATTCAAGAATGCCATCATGTCAGACCCACAGAATGGTGATTTTGTGGCTGTGTTATTTAAAAAAAAAAAAAAAAAAAATCCAGGCATCTGTTCTTAAAGGTCTCTAGATTTAAAACATTTTTCATTCCTGCTGCTAAGCATTTCTCAGACTAAGACAGGCATAAGCTTCTGGCCAACACTGGGTACTTAGTTCAAGAATCCTACTAGGTCCAATAGGAAAATCTCAGAAAGAGCCAGGAGCAGTCTGGGGATCAGTGCTGCTGACCAGCAAAACTGAGAGAGATCTCTGTATCTACACTGGGACTCTTGGCAACTCTGCAGGGCAGTGAGGCGGTGGGAGGGAGCTCAGAGCCTCATCAGCATCCATTCTGTCCTAGCCCTTGTGAGTGTGGTTTAGATACATTCTCCTGGACACACACAGTCACGGGAGACTCCAGTAAAATCTAAAGTCCATGAATTATTCAGGACGTGTTCTTCTGAAGCACATCTGTTTAGATATGCAAATTGGCCCCAGCAGCCACTTCAGAGACCAGGGTGCAGGCAATGACAGGCGGGCACCCCAAAGTCTCACTCTTGATGGCAGCAGGAAGAGTTTCTAAGCTGCCTGGAAGGACAGGGAAAGACAAGGGGAGGAGACTCACCCTGAGCCCTGCAGTTCTTCCAGATTGGATGCATTCCATTCAGAGCCCTGGGAGACAGATCACACAAACCCCCATGAGTGTCACATGTCAGCCTCAGAGCTGCTTAAGGGATGCAGTTTGCCCCAGCCCTGGTAGTAAGGCCTTATTTCAGGGACCCTTGGCCTCGGAGAACAACAAGAACCCTGTGGCTGATATTCAGGAAGGTTCTTGAGTACTCACAGTATGGGCAATGTGTGCGATGTGCACGGGGGCTGGAGAGAGTGGGGAGCCAGGGCCCTCACTGACCCCTTGGCCTTAGGTAAAGAACAAGTCCAGGAAAACCTGCTCCCTCCCCTCAGCTTACTCCTTTCCTAAGATTGCAGTGGGATCCCATAATCAGAGGCATTGACCTGCAACCTCCCATCTCTGGAAAGGACATTCACACACCACTAATAAAACAAAAAAATCCTTCTACCTTTTTTGGGAAGTATTCTGGTGATGCTGAAAAAGTTCCCACCCTGTGACCCAGTAATTTGAATTATAAAAAGTTATCCTGAGGAAATAATAATTCACACAGAGATTGAGGTATGAGGATATTTAAGGCTATTTATAAAACAGTGGAAAGAACCCAAAGGTCAAATGGGAAGAAATTAGTAAATAAATGATGATGGAGCCTCATGAAGGAGCCATTAAAACCCATCATGTTTTTGGAGAATATTTAATGACACAGGAAAACACCATATAAGGAAACAGAACTTTAAAAGAAAGCAGGATAAAAAACTGTATAAGCATAAGCTGTATGATCCTCTTGTTTTCTTTGTATTTATCTATCTATCTATGAGTAAAGCAGAATTTAACTCTGCTAGAGTGCAGTGGTGTCACAGCTCACAGCAACCTCAAACTCCTGGGCTCAAGTGATCCTCTTGCTTCAGCCTCCTGAGTAGCTGGGACTACAGCTATGTGCCACCACACCTAGATAATATTTTTATTTTTGGTAGACACACAAGGTCTAGCTCTTGATCAGGCTGGTCTTGAACTCCTGACCTCAAGTGATCCACCTGTCCCAGCCTCCCAGAATGCTAGGATTACAGGCATGAGCCACCATGCCTGGCCTCTTCTTTTTTTCTTTTTAAAGAAGCTATATATATAATATTTAAAAACCAAAGAAAAAAACTGAAGATGGGAAAATAAATAAACCAAAATATCTACATTGACTACCTCTGGATTTGTGAGATTGGGAATGTTTTCTTTTTCTTCAGATTTATTTATATTTCCAAACTTTCTGTTGTACAATGTTTTAATCTGATACTTAAAAAAACAGTGTAACAAACCAAGCTTCCATTCTTAAGCATTCAAAGAACATGGAAGGGAAGGGAAAGGAAAAATAATCACATTGCTCTTAGGAAACGCAAAGGACACAGTCACAAAGAGCAAAAGAATCCATCTTACTCTCCCTGCAAACTTCCTCTCTCAAGTTCCCAAGAGGGCAAACGTCTCAGGACCCAGGGGCTGCAGGGCCCCAGTTGAGCTGGCAATGTGCAGTGCTAGCTGAATTTTTATATTTGAGGGAGAGGCTCAAACAAAAATTCCTTTAGTATCTCTCATGGAAAAAGTGACACAAAGCACCAAAACCACACCAAAAAAATAACGAAAGCTCCACGGAGGCTGTGAGCGTCCTCTGGCCGTGATCACCACCTAGTGGGGAAAGACAGGATGAAGGTGCCTTCTGTTCCCTTTTCCCTGGGACATCAATCCGCTTCCCAGGAAGATTAGTGCCCAGTACCGCCCAGATAGCTTTGCAGATATAGTCTTCAAATCTACACATTTATATATAAGTTTCAATGTGTAAATATGACATCTATATAGATTTATACAAATACATTTAAAAATATGTATCTCTGTATCTCCTCAGGGTGCCAAAAGAATATGTATACACATTTTAAGAAAGGAAAACTATGGCTTGGTGCCTGTGGCTCAAGTGGCTAAGGTGCCAGCCACATACACCTAAGGTGGTGGGTTCGAATCCAGCCCGGGCCCACCAAACAACAATGGCTGCAACCAAAAAAAAAAAAAAAATAGCCGGGCGTTGTGGCACGTGCCTGTGGTCCCAGCTACTTGGGAGGCGGAGGCAGGAGACTCACTTGAGCCCAGGAGTTGGAGGTTGCTGGGAGCTGTGATGCCACTGCACTATACTAAATGTGTAATACTCAGTATATACCGATAGTAAAAGATGAATACAAGTCACGCCAAGCGCCTCCTACAATTGCAGAAGTCAAACATGTCGCGAGTATTACACATTCAATGGAGTTTTTTCTTTTAATTAATTAATCTTTTTTTTTTTTTTGAGATTCTGTCTCACTCTGTTGCCCTGGAGTCATAGCTCACAGCAACCTCAAACTCTTGGACTTAAGTGATCCTCTCGCCTCAGTCTCCCGAGTACCAGGGACTACAGGCACTTGCCGTGACACCTGGTTAGTTTTTCTACTTTTAGTAGAGACAGGGTCTCACCCTTACTCAGGCTGGTCTTTAATTCATGAACTCAAGCAAGCACCCATGTTGGCCTCATAGACTTCTAGGATTACAGGTATAAGCCACCATGCCTGGCTGAGTTCTTCCTCTCTTAAAATGTGTGTATGTTTGCCACGCGTGGCGGTATATGCCTGTAGTCCCAGCTACTGGGGAGGCTGAGACAGGGCGATCACTTGAGTCCAAGAGTTCTGGGCTGTAGTGTGCTATGCCAAACAGGTGTCCGCACTAAATTCAACATCAATATGGTGACCTCCCAGGAGCAGGGGACCACCGGGTGGGTTGCCTAAAGAGGGATGAACTGGCCCAGGTCGGAAACAGAGCAGGTCAAAGCTTCCGTGATGATCAGGAGTGGGATCGTGCCTGTAAATAGCCACGGCACTCCAGCCTGGGTACCTTAGTGAGACCCCGTCTCAAAAAAAAAGAAAAATATGTGTGGATGCTTTTTGGCACCCTGTGTATATACTATCACAACGCAGACATGACGGAGAACTCGATTTCCCCCAGGCAGAAAACAAAGTTGTTTGCGTCTCTAGCAGCACATACGCTTTCTCAGTATGCCTGGAAGCACCTTCTCTAACACTGGTCATCATTTATTAGCACCCCCAGAAACCACACTAGACGCTTTCAATACGCATTTTCTTCCTTTCCCCACTTCTGGCACGTACACTACGTTGCCCGTTGCCCAGGATGGCCTCAAACACCTTGGTTCAGTGATTACCGGAAGTAGCTGAGACTATAGGTTTATACTGAGCCCTCTTGTATTTTATCTAATCCTCATAATCATCCCACGGGGTACAGAGTGAAGGAAAAAAAAAACAAAACAGCAACAAAGTGGCTTTTAGCCAGTGAGGCCGAGGAGTGGGAACCGGAGCCCTTATGGGTAGATTTTCATCCCACATGCAGCCTCTCTAATTTTAGGGACGTGTCTTTCTCTATAGTCTCTCTGACTTTGAAAACCTGCCAGTTGCCTTCTATGGAGATTCATGGCATTGAGACAGTCTGAGCCAGCCATGGAGGCGCAGGCAGTCAGGGCAATCTACCCAAAGCTACCCAGACCAGGGCGTGTTCTTTCTTCCAGTGGGCTCTGGGAGCAGGCCCTGGGAGGAGCTGTCTGGACACGCTCAGTTGTGTGATCTGTCTTCCCTGCTGTTTCTCATGTCCCAGGCTGCCCAGGCATAACTCTGGGGTTTGGTGAGTAGTATGTTTCCTTTAGTAATTGGGGGTTTTGAGCCCGTATACCATTTGGAGATAAGTTGAGAGGGCCTGCGTGTTAGTGACTGAAGAAGACAAAGGGTTGGAGAGTTTGAAACCACTTGCCAGCTGTTTGTGCCAACACCTCCCAAACAACTCCCCACAGCTCAGCTGAGAGCCACATCTCAAACATCTGGCTTCAGAGCAGACCAGCAGTCTACAGGCCACAGAACGGGCCAAAGAACTTTGGGAGTTGCCGTCAGTCAGGATGGAGGCTCCAGTAAGTCAAGTTTTTCATCTGCTTTTTCTCTCTGACTTACTGTAAGCACCAAACAATCAAAGTCTGATTTATGTCCCCCAAACCAGATCCCGCCATGGCTGTGCCCTTACGAGATAAAGATGATCGAAGATAAGGGAGGGCTTGTCCATCTGTCCCAAGATAAGGAGCATCTCGTTGTCTATGAATTCCTTAAATTCTTTCAAGTTACAGTTCATCTGCTTCTCTAATTCATTACGGATCTGCAGAGTGGAAAATATTAGGAAAAGTCATTTGTTAAAGACACCAGTTGTCCACCCCCAAAGAATTAAAAGTTACAATAGGAACGGTGGCTGTTTCCATAAAAGGTAGGTATCTTTCCCCTCAGAATAATACATTTAGATACATGTAGCACACATGCGTGGGTGGCAGGAATGCAGGTTACTCAGCCTAAAAGTAAATCCAACTGGGGAGAGTTTATTATTTCAAACACGGTATCTGATTTCCATGTGATCTTTTCTACTGAGTTTAAAGCACTTTTACAATTACATGTCAAATACCTCGCAGAATTTAAAATCAGTTTCATCTTACTTGGGAAGGTATCACAATATGATTTTTAAAAGTATATTAATTAATAAAAAGTTTACAGTTTATTGACTTTTAAAAACAGCAGTTTCAACCTCTTCTTAGATCTACTTTGAGTTCTCAGTATAATTCACTGCATTCCTTAAACACAAAGCCACAAAAAAGAGAAAATAAGTCATTCAGGAAAACATTAAAAGGCAAAGATGGCTCAGTGCCTATGGCTCAAGTGGCTAAGGCGCCAGCCACGTACACCTAAGGTGGTGGGTTCAAATCCAGCCCAAACCCGCCAAACAACAATGACGACTGCAACCAAAAAATAGCCAGGCATTGTGGCAAGCGCCTGTGGTCCCAGCTACTTGGGAGGCTGAGGCAAGAGACTTGCTTGAGCCCAGGAGTTGGAGGTTGCTGTGAGCTGTAATGCCACGGCACTCTACCCAGGGGGACAGCTTGAGGCTCTGTCTCAAAAAAAAAAAAAAAGGCAAAGACAAGGTAATCTAGAATTGACAACTTGCCAGTCAGTCATAATCCAGGAGAGAAATAAGTTTGCCATCTCTCATGCAGACCACACAGCAACGTGGGGCCTAAGACAGAGAGGGTGTGAACAGATCAAGGCTTATGGGCGCCGTCCACGGACCTCATGCAATTGCCACCGAAGGTCCTAAAGGTGAGGCTTGAGAGGTCAGGAAATTGGCCCAATATCTCAAAACTGGGAAAGGGCAGATTTAGAATCAGACTAGAATCTGACTCTAAGGTCTATCTGTGCTCTTTCCACTAAGCCCTGCTGTCACTGAAGAACGAGGAGGAAAAATGCCTGTGAGAGCTGAGGAGCAGATGGGTCAAGACAGCCAGGTGCCAGGCCAAGACAAACGAACACCCTGGGATCCCGGCCTGCTAAGCAGGGGTGCATTCCCTTACTTCTTTGGAGGTCACGTTTTCTAGATCCTGGCTCATCATGATGCTTCGGAGTTTGGCTTTGATGAGGCGCTCAGTCCTTTCCCCTTCAGTTGGCCTGGAAAGAAACGATGCTTAGGAAAGCACAGAACTCTAGGAAGCCTGGGGTCAGAGGTTACAGAAACACCAGACGCTCCTGGGTCTAATAAACAGAACACGGCTTGGCACAGAGAGCTTGCTTCTCAGTGCGTGTTCTCGGGGGCAGCAAGAGGTACGTGGACAACCTGCCCCAGCCTCAGAGGTCCCAGGGGACACAAGGGAGCAGACAGCAGATCAGGCAGACAGAGGACAGTTTGGAATCTCACTGCTGCTTCAGTCCCTGCAATGTCAGACATTTCTCAGTGCAAGACACTGGAGTTGCCAGCACGATGTCCCCTCCCTGCTGGGCCCTTCAGTGTCTGTCTGAATACATCTGGGTGTGAGGACCTCACTGTGCCCTGAGGTAGCCTGGCCCAGCTGTGGCCAGCTCCCATCATCTTCTTCTTATACAAAATCAAAATGTATCTCCTTGTAACTTCTGTGCACCAGCCCTACTTGGAATTCTAGGTGTCACACTGGACAGGGTGAGCTTTCTTTCCCATGATGACCTTTCAAATAATTTGAAGGCTATCAAATAATTTTTCAAACAATTTGAAGGCACCTATCATTTTTCCCCAGTCTGTCTCATGATTTCTTTGAGGCCTCACATGATGTGGCTTCTAATCATTTTGACCAATGCCCTCTGGACACACAGTAGTGTGTCTACAGCCCTCTTAAACTCTGCAGTATCCCAGCAGAACATAAAGCCCTGGGATCTAAGCACAGGTCACATTTATAATTCTCCTAAGAGCAGAGCAGGAAACTTGGGGAATTAACTCTCTGGCCAGACTGCAGAGCACTGTGAGGAACTGGTGACATACAGGGCCACGAACTCCTTCGAGAATCGAGGGAAGTTATGGATCTGTTCCCCATTCACCAAATTCGTCTATAATTTTTTAGGGGTAGACGGTGATCATAGAGCCCAGGCGCAGAGAGGCAGGTGCCTGAGGGGTGTGATTGGGCTTCCCCAGGGAGGGGGTGCTACGTACTTGTCCACAAACAGTGCTGGGGAGTCGGGCCGCGTGGACTCCAGGTCCTGCATGGCGTTCCACTCGTTGATACAGCTCTGCTCAGAGCTGATACAGCTCTCATAGTAGGTGGCCCAGATGAGAGCCACGCCGCCGGGGAAGTAGTTGTGTCTTCGTGCCACCTCACAGGCCTTATGAAGCACCTGCAGGGCAGACCTGGGTGAGGAGGGGAGAGGGTCAGGCCTAGGGGGGCATGAGAAGGGCTAGGGTGTCTCCTGCAAACAAGCGTTTCAGACAGGGCCTGGGAAGGGCAGTTCCTACGGGACACCCCCCTGGAGCTGTGCTCATAGGTGAGGGTTTGTGGGGGACACACAGCAGCCTGAAACCCTGTGACACGGTCACCGACAGAGTCTAAGAGTAGACAGAACATCCCTCAACATTTCTCAAAAGGAGAAGAAAAACAACAGACTTCGTTACTCTTCCATCAGTCAGCTCTAAAGAACTATGGTTTGCTTCTGAAGTAGGGGTAACCTTGCCCACAATCGCACCACAATTAAGCCTCGCAGCTGGAAGGGAAAGTCTTTGATACGTTACAGAGACATCTGACTGCATTCCAAATATTTACATTTCTGTCTATTCCCCAGTCAACATTGTATTGTAATAGCTTAGATTTCTTAAGGAAATGAGTTTTAAACATTAAAAATTGTTTTTAATACAGAAACTAAAGAAGAGGTTTGGGGTAAACAAAATGGGGCAGAAGAAACGATATTAAAAACATACACATTTTATTTAGTCACCCTCTTTTACTTCTTATCAAATTTCTCAGTGAATGGCACAAACGAGTTATCAATAAAGGGCGGAAGAGTGGCGCCTCGGAATGGAGGAGGCACTCAGAGGACGGCTCCGCAGTGGCAGGAACAACACTGCAACCCACCTCCCTTTCCCCAACTGCATGCTTCTGTCCCATCTCCAGTCTGGCTCAGGGAACCTACTCGAGCTGAACGTTTGCTAAATTTAGTTCTTGTTCCGAACTTTCTGGAAAAACATGTGGGCCTATTTTTTACTTGCCTAGAGAGAAGAAAGAGACAACAAATTATCCAGGGACACAGAGGAACATCTGGGACATCTATCGGTTCATGTTCCAGAATTGACGACTTCATGATTTTCCCCCAAATGATCCTGAACTGACTGCAGCACAGAGTTAACAGAAGAGGTTAAAAGAAGCACAATGTTGACTTGTGGCCCTTGGAGAATTCTGCATAACTGTCACTGTCCCAGAAAAAAAGCATCATTACTTTGAGACCCTGGGCAGAACCCTTCTCATCTGGAGGTACTGACTCTCTCCTGAGTTTTTCCCAGATACTTTGAGAGAGACTATCACGTTGAGTTTGCTGCCTGGGCAACCTGTGCAACCCTCCGAGGAGGAAGAAGGCTCCAAGAGACACTGTAGATGTGACACTGTAGATGTGACAGTCACCCCATGCAGCCTTCACCTACATCATTCCAAAAGCAGTGTCCCAGGGGAAGGCTACCCTTACCCAGGCCCCTGGGACCCTGACGCCTACACCCTGTGAGAACACTCTCCCCCACTCCTGGGACCTCGTCCATACGTTTGTGGTCACTTCCTTCAATGGACTGTAAACCCCACCAAGACAGATGTTTGATGGCTCCCTGCATGGTGGGCACCTAGCAAAGGGCCATTCGTCTCACTGAACAAACTGAGCACCTACTAGGTACCAGGTACAATGAACAGACAAATTTATGCTGGAGTGAGGCTCTGTCAGCAGGAGCTAGACATCTATAAAAACACACCTTCAACAATAAACAAATAACCCCCTTAGAAATGGGTAAAGGACTTGAATAGACATTTCTCCAAAGAAGACAAATAAATGGCCAATAAGCACATGAAAAAAATCCTCACCATGAACAGTCACTAGGGAAATGTAAATCAAACCACAGTGAGATATCATTTCATATCCATTAAGATGATTATTAAAAAA